GATATACCGCGCGTCCGAATCGTCTTGTGGACCGCTTACGACTACGTCGTGGTGTTGACGCCGACGCGCCGGCGGTACAGGCGTCGCCAGGAGCGGCGGTCCGACGTTCAGTACGCCACGATGTCGCCGTCATCGGTGTCTTGGCAGACCGGATTGCTAAGTATCGGTCGTCATTTTGAACGTTGACGTCCATCTTGTTGCTCGGGGACTACTGGCCGTCGTTTTACAAACTTTCCTAAAAAAAATAAAACAAAACTAGTAAAAAAAATTGTAACACCGGTTATACTGATTTCTTACCTGAGCGCAGCAGCTTTGCTGAGGCAGCGTAATTTTCGCATAAATTGTCGAAGCTGCTCCATTAAAGGTTCGTCGTGATAGAGGTCACGGGCTTGAGGCAACGTTGGGCTTGTACGGAGCGAAGGGAAGAGTCACCACTCGGGGAGTAGACCGGAGCGAAGACACTTGAGGGGAAGAAGGAAGATTTCGAAGTGATTGATTTATCGGAGCTTACACTGCCCTCACTACCTAGGTCATCCAATCAATTGGTGCATCCAATCACCAACACTCTGCACTCGTCCAATCATCCTACTCGTCTAATCATCGATATCGTAATCAACGTACCGTAATCATCGCGGGATCGTGTTGGACCGGTTTGGCTACCGGTTTATGGGTATTTACCGCCTGAAACCGGTACCCCTCAATACGTCGTCAAGCAAGTACAACTTCACAGCCAAACTGAGACGGTGGCTTGCACATCCAATGAATGGAACCTGAAGCAAATCAGCCAGCCGAGTGTTGACCGAGCAATTGTCAGTCACCAGATAGCAAATGTTCGCTGTGTCACGCTTAAAGAAAGGTAGAATACCTCTAAGCAACAAGACGTGCCTCTTGGCCGACTGGTCTTCAGCCTTTTCGTCGACAATCGGTGCTAGTGCTAGCAACACCTTTCCCGAGCGCTGGTCGTGCTCAAAAACCGCAAAAACTGTGACGTAGTGCTCCGATTGGAAGCTCCAACCATCAAGCATGACACCAAACGAGGCAGGAAGATTATCGGCGATCTCCATTTCAACCTCCTTGGTCAGCAGGACCGCATACTTCAGCAGCGTCTCCGAGCAAATCGTTTTCATGGTCGTGTACTTGGCCACAGTAGGATCTTCGCAAAAAGAGAAAGGCAGGTTGCACGCCGTGATGTAGTCGAGCCAGAAGTAGATCGTCTGGCTTTTCTGGTCGATGAAGCTTACGAGCGTTCCCGAGTTGACCCCGCTGGTCGTCATCGTTGCGACATAGTCAGGGTGTTGCTTCGTCACATGAAGGAAGAGATTGGAGTAGCAGTCTTCAAGTCTTGTTTACGGACTGTACCACACTGGCAGCGGTAGTAATTGGTAGGCTCGTCTTGGCCATCGAGCAGCGGCGTGAAAAGTAAGAGCAGACTTGCTTGGTACTGAAGGTGGCTTTAGAGGTCATGGCGAAAGCAGAAGAGAGAGATAAACATTAATCGGGAGCTTTACATCATGCACCATTGGTGCGTGCAGCACCAACCAGGTTGTAGGGCGTAATTACGAGGTATATGAAGGCTGTGAGTGGGCGAAACGTAAATTTCGTAAAAGAAAATGTATGGACTTGGTAAAAATAAATAGACTGAATTTTTTTCCAAAATAACTTATTAGCTGTAAAATATTGTATTGGATTTCCAATACAATTATTATTTCGGAGGGCCTGCTCTTCGTTCGACGCTGCTTTCGAGGCGGCGATGAAATCCCAACGAACGAGGAGCCTCGATGCCGTGAGATGTCTTTTTAGTAAGTGCCAACCGCCTCTCACTGCCGCCAACAAGGAATGTTCATGGATGCA